GTCACCAATTGTTTCTGCCCATTTAGTAGGGGTCCTATTCCTCCCTGGGCCTTCCTTTTACTCCCAATATATCTAAAAAACAATTTCTTGTTGTCTTTTACTTGGGATGCCATCCTCAGCTCCATGGTAGCTTTGGCCCGTCTAACTGCCTCCCTACAAGCACGAGCAGGGGAGGTATATTCGTCTTTGGTGATCTCTCCCTGTTTCCACTTTTTATGTGCTCCCCTTTTGGCCCTTAGGCTGCCCTGGATTTCTGTGGTCAGCCAGGGAAGCCTCCTGGCCCCTTTCCCTCTTTTACCTCGCACGGGGATCGTCTCGCTTTGTGCCCGAAGGATCGTTTCCTTAAGGCACAGCCACCCTTCTTGGGCTCCCATCACTTCAAAACTCCTACTCTGTAGTGTGTCCTTGACCAATCGCCTGAGTTCATTTAAATCAGCTTTCCTAAAGTCTAGCACTTTCACCCTACTAGTTACCTTACCCACTCGACGTCTTATGGTGAATTCTATTATTAGGTGATCACTGTCCCCCAGATGGCTACCGATCTGTAGGTCCCCTACCATGTCATCCCCCGTTGCCAATACCAGATCCAGTATGGCATTCCCCCTAGTGGGACCGTGTACCTCCTGTGTCAGGTGGAGGTCCTGTACACAGGTTAGAAACCTGCGTGAGCGGTGGGACTTTGCCGTCTGCATCTCCCAGCAGATGTCCGGGTAGTTTAGGTCCCCCATGACTACCGCCTCTTTAGCTTTTATGGTCTCCGAGAGCTGCCTCAGGAGCCCCGAATCTATTTCTTCCCCTTGGTGAATGTCCTTATTGCAGTGCACGCATGTGCAAGAGCCAGAAGCAAGCCACCTAGTAGATGGCATCTTCATAGAATGGGGATTTGTTTACAGGGGTTGCCTCCAGTAGCCAATAGGGCTTTTGTTGATTTTGTGACTATGGCCCCCTCCAGACATTTACTGCAGGTTAAAAGTGAGCACCCCTGCAACTTTTCTTGAAGCATTTCAGACATTCAGGCAAGTTATTCCATTATAAAAATGGAAAACGAACAACAAATATGTTCTATCTTTAACATGGAATATCTCTGTAGCTGGCTAAACAGCAGGGTTTTAAGCCTGCCAGCATGAAGGAGGGGAACCCATCAGTTCCTCCCACACAAAGATATTTAAAGCCTCACTGTGCAGCCCAATACTGGGCTAAAGTGGGACTTTAAATGTCCTCCTGTGGGGGGATAACCCATTGGTTCCTCCCACATGGGGACATCCCCCATCCCTACCTCTTCAAGCTGTCACCAGTACATGTGCTGCCAGCTACATGTGGGCTGCATGTGCATTATTTCCAAGATGTGTGATGAGGGCAGCTGTGGATCAGGAAGCTCCCCAATCCACAGCTGCTCGCTACCTGTGCTGGGTACAGGCAGCTAAGAATCAGGGAGCTCCTTGATTCCTAGTTCCACTCGCCAAGGGGGGGCAGGTACAGCAAGCTCAATGTCCTAGCAGACATGTGGTTGGGATCTGACAAATTTTATCGCAGATCCCAAGAATCACATATCCTGCCAAGACTTGTGGCACGGCAGGACATGTGATTTTTGGGATCTGAAATAAAAATTGTCAGATCCCAATCATTAGAGGTGCACCAATACATCAGTTCATATTGTGTTGGCACCAATAAAACTAAAATTGACATTACTGGCAATTGGCTTTTTTGGCTGACGTGATTGATAATGTCGCCAATAAATGATGAGTGCATGCATGCAGCCGCAGCATGCACGCAGCCAGGAGTGCAGTCTGGAAGCATGGAGAGCAGCATCTGGCCGGTAAGTCTGTGCGGGGACAGACTGAGACCCTCATGGTGAGGGAGAGAGTGGGGTCAGGGCAGGCGCTGCCCACCTGGGGTAGGGTGGGGTATAGGATTGAGCTGATGGCTCATCACAGGGAGTGGGGAAGGGAGCGGCTCCCACCACTGTATGCACCCCGGGAGAAGCATGTGCCCCTCAGATCTGTGTGCAAGGAGAGGGCAAGCTACCACTACGCGCTTGGGGGCTGCACCAGGCTCTTCCCAGCGGCTGCCCACCCGAAGCACAGCCACTGGGAAGAGCCTGGCACAGCCTCAGAGTGCAAGTGTGCAGTGGCAGCCTGCCCTCACCCCATGGACAGATCAGGGGGACACATGCCCCAAAAGCCTCTCCTCGGGTGCGTGCAGCAGCGGGAGCCTTCCCTGCCCTCTGGATGAGCCACTGGCTCCGTTCTGCGCTCCAGCCCACCCAGGCAGCACCTGCCCCTGCCCCACTTATTTCATAGTTTCATAGTTTTAGGGTCGGAAGGGACCTAATAGATCTTCTAGCCCGCCCCCCCGCCAGGGCGGGAGAACAACAAAAAACCCTAAAAACAAAAACGGGACTCAAATGAGTCCAGCCAGGTAGGCATCCAGCCTCTTCTTAAAGACCCCCAGGGTAGGGGCCAGCACCACCTCCCTTGGAAGTTGGTTCCAGCTCCTAGCCGCCCTAACTGTGAAGTAGTTTTTTCGGATGTCCAATCTGTACCTCCTCTCCATCAACTTGTGCCCATTACTCCTTGTTATGCCAGCGGGGGCTAGGGGAAACAGCGTCTCCCCCAAACCCTTCTGGTTCCCCCTAGTGAGTTTATAGACGGTCACCAGGTCCCCCCTCAGCCTTCTCTTGTGGAGGCTGAATAGGTTCAGGTCCCGCAGTCTCTCACTGTAGGGTCTGCCCTGTTGTCCCCGGATCATGCGGGTGGCCCTCCTCTGGACCCTCTCCATGTTGTCCACATCCCTCCTGAAATGGGGCGCACAGAACTGGACACAATACTCCAGCTGCGGCCTGACCAGCGTCGCATAGAGGGGGAGGATCACCTCCCTGGCTCTACTCGAGATGCACCTGTGGATGCACGACAAGGTCCGGTTAGCCCTGCCAACCATGACCTCGCATTGTCGGCCCATGTTCATCTTGGAGTCAATAATGACACTTCCTCCCTCCCTCACCACGGAGGTCTCGATCTGCTCCCCACCCCACATCCCTTCTGTGGGGGGGAGGGGTGTGGGGGAAAGACTTACCACCCAGACGCTGCTCTCCAAGTTGCTGTGCTGCATATTGGCAATTGGATCAGTATTGGCTGATGTGGCTGGTCAATAAATCGGCCATCGGTATTGGCCCAAATAATCTTTATTGGTACACCCCTACCATTCACGGAAGGAAATTAATCTCTAGAAGAGGCCAAGAGGTTTACATAAATGGCACATTACACATTTCAGTAGGTTAGTAAGCTTCTATATTAGACTTCAATTTTTATTACATTTTGTAAATATTGAGAAAGAAATTGAAGGAAGGACAACTTTTGAACAGCACAAGGAATAAGAGAGCAATGCCTAAATTAAAAGTAACACTTTATGTGACAAAATACATTTTGTGGGATGACTGAAACAAAGGATTACAGTTTGGAGGGAGTCTCACTGGGGGGGGCCATAAAAGAGTATTAGTAGTATCATTGTTACTATGTAACTACTTGGACCTACCCACAATATTCCTCTCATTAGATAACATCCACAAGTCACATCAGTTGCTACAGGCAAAACTACAGCTAGCGTCATTGGTACTGTTATTCAGCCATGCAGCCACCAATATCCATGAAACACTCACTCACTCTGAGTCAGAGTATGTTTGTATGTAGGTGCGCACATGCACGCCCCTTGAAGAAAGAGATCTCTACAGTCTTGGTAGCTTTTCATTAAAGACAATACCAGCCACCCCCACAAAAAAATGGAGAAAAGAACAGGTTAATTGGAAAAAGTGTCCTTTCCTTCCATGAAAATACTTCAGGGACTGACAAATGATGACACTTACCGAGTAAAGTAGGTCTTTGGAAAGTCTGAGGTCAACAGCCTCCAGGGAACATTTTTTCCTAAACAAGAAAGATGAAAACAGTTATTATGCTCTTGATGGAGGAGTGATACTTCAGAGGGTGAAATGCTACAAAGAAAATACAGATTACCTTTGCAATCTAAGAAGAGGCTAAATGTTCCTTACCTCTCAAAAATTCAAACTGAGGAAAGACGTTACAGAATTAAAACACAGTTTTGATGGCACAGATAAACCTTTCTCACTGTGATGCTGAGAATGTGCAGTGACCTTGTGGTGGTCCAAACCGTGGGCAAAACCGCATGACTACTGAAGTATCCATCTGATCTAACTTCGTAAGTGGAGGACTCTTTAAAGGTGCTAGACTAAAGGGTCAAATCAAAGTTTCTAGTGTTTTCTGAAGCTAAACCATGAGGAGTGAGATTAAAATCTTGCCTGGAAGAAAACCATATGGCTGTTATTGATAGTTTAAGGAGCCGACTTCTTATGCTGACTAACCAGAGAAGAAGAGGAAGGAAACGCAATGCTGCAGCACAGCTACCATTGTGGAAGAGGCATGTCCCTGTTATGGTTGTTTTCTGAAAAAACAGCCAACACTTGATTTCTGCATAAACGTGAATTTTCTGCTGTATGGGACAGCTTGCAAGAAACAGAAAGTAAGAGTGGCATCGTACCTGTTTGCCAGCCAAAACCAACAGACCACGATGCAAAAACCTTAGCAAAACCATGGGGCAAAGAGGCAGAGAAAGGAGAAGCAGCGAAGGGAAGAGGTGCTCGTGAAGGAGGACGGACCCAAGAGCCTTCGGTGTCCCCCAGGTGCCTCCTGTCCGGTGCCCGGCGCGAGAGTCTCTGCATGAAGACTGAAGCGGAGCCACCGAGCACTCTGTAGCAGTCACCAAGGCTCGTAACATTATTTCAAGGCCGTTTTTCCCAACTGCAGCAGCCGCCTTCCATGGAAACCAAAGTAAGAAGCTTTTTTTAAAAAAAATTTTTTTTTTTTTAAAGCAGGTTTCCTGAGTAACTTCCGAAAGTGCCGGCAGCCTCCCTCGCGTGCAGGAGGTCAGAGCCGGAATCACCGGGCACGGGCGGACTGGCC